TTAAAGATAGACCATGTTTAAAGCAAACTGATCCGTTTAAGAGGAGTGCTTAGTTAAATGCACATTTAAAAATTATGTATGAAATGTATGCAACCTTAACCTCTTTTTTGCTCCAATTTGAGAAAATATTTCGTATACAAAATGAAAAACGTATGTAGTTAAAATGATAAATTGATATGATAAATTGTATGTAGTTAGCAATTATACATAATTATTATTTCGCTTTCTTACTTGAGTTGTTGAAAATAATTTGTCTTGATAATGAAAAAGTATCATATGAAATATGTTAAGTATATTTCATAATTTAAATTTTTCTTTTGTTTTTCACTTGAATTTAGACAATATTACATATATAAAGTAAAGTAAAAAGAATCGAAAGAAAATTAATAATGTATAAATAAGTCTACGTAATTAAATTTCGGTGCATTTTTGCTTGAATTGTAGAAAAACTGTCACCTATAAAGACAAAGAAGACCAAAGAAAATTACCTATCTGTATATTTGCTTTGCATACCTATTATTTAATTATTTTACTTCCAACTATTATTCTTAATAGCCAAAAAAGTACGGTCATTCAACATGAAGAAAAATAATCTATGAGTTTCAGTACATCAAGTCAAATTTGAAATAACTCAGAGAAATTTCAATACATCAAATTTTACATATTTGGATAAGGATGCAAATATTTTTATTTCTAGTATTTAATTTAGTATGCTAAAAAAACTTAAAGCAGATCTTTTTTTTATCTAGAATTTTCTACCTAAAAGAAAAATGAATACATACTGCTCTTCATAAGAAAAAAAAACTTTTACTTCTGTCTTAATGCATTAATTTTAAAGCGATATAAATAAGGGATAATTCAATGCATCCAATAACATGATTTAAAATAAATATAAATTTATATCTAGTTGCATTATGATTGTTTACAATAATATTACTTTGTAAGCTTCATAGAATATAAATTTTTTACAACGAAAATAAATGAAATTTAAAAAATTTAATACGGATCTCCCATACGAATAAATAAATTTATTTTTGAATCTTAAAATGTTAATTATGATGAAAAATTAATAAGTGATATTGCATATTCAAATGGATAATTTTAGATAAATATAAACTTACTAGTGGGCTGTGCCCCCTGCTCGCTTACGCTCGCTAATCGCTCGTCGTTCTTCAATATGAATTAATTATTTTACATGCGGTTTTCAATGCGTCAATTTTAAAGCAAGATTACTAGATAATATTGAAATACATCCAATAGTGAAATTTCAAATAAATATAAATTTATAACTTGCGCTTAAATTGGCTTATAACTATTCTATTTCAATTTAGCATAGCAAAACATCAGATGTTTCTGCGATAACTAAATCGAGATTAAAAAATGTCGATTCGAAAAAAATAATGTTACTTTTGAGTTTTAGTACATCAATATTGAAGCGAAATTTAAAGCTGATATTGATAGTGGTTAGTGGTAAAATGTGATTATTTTTTTTTATTTTAAATAAATATAAATTTACATTTTATGCATTATTACATTATAAATATAAATTTTCATTTTATGCATTATAAATATAAATTTACATTTTATGCATATAAATTTACATTTTATGTCTGTTTAGAACTAATCAACTATGTTACTGAAATCGAAAAATAAAAATTTTTTCGACGAAAAGAGAGATACAAAATGTACAAACTGTTATTCAATGCGAATATAATATTTTACTATAGTTTTTAATATATCAATTTTAAATCAAGATTATTAGATAATATTGCAATACATCCACTTATAAAATTTTAAATAAATATAAATTTATAACTTACCGTTATATTTGCTTACAACTATTTTATTCTAGTCCTAACATAGCAAAATATAAATTTTTAGACAAAAATAAATTGAGATTAATGAATCTTTTCAGTTCTTTTATAAACGAAAAATGAAAACTGCAGAGTTTCAATACATAATTTTAAAAGCTCTGCGTGTTATCAAATATCAATTGAGTGGAGATTTTTAAACAAATCGATCATTTTTATTTTTTTTATGTGAATTGCTTACATTTTATTAGCCATCAAATATATAGTTTAGAAATTTTATTTATTTTTTGGCAATTAATATGATATATTAATTATAAAAATTGATGTACGAAATTGAGAAAATGATTATTTTGATAGCTCAGAATCAAACCTGTTATGCAGCATCATTTTACTAATTTAAAAAAAGTTTGTGAGTAAATTAAGTAAAATAAATTCAAAAACGATGTTTTACATGTTATATTTTATCGAAATGAAAATATCTCAAAGTTAGGGTTTAAAGTTTCTTTTGCATGCATGAAAGGAAGATTTTCGGAATCGTTATTCTTATTTTTTAAATTTAAACTTTTGTTTTTGAATTTATTAAATTATGTTCAGTTATTTTTAGGTTAGCATTCTATTCTACAGAAATAATTTTAATCTTAGCTTATTTCTTTTAGAAAACATTATTTATCATACAAACATATTTTGGATAACATATATTACGTACATTTAATTGCAGTAAAGGATAATAGCTTTAAATGAAAAAATATTCACCTTATTTTACCCCAGCTAAAGGAAAAATTATTTTTTCACCCCCTTAGTCTAGAAAGAAGAAGGTGTACCTTGTCTCTTTCATGGATAAAATAAAAATAGTTCAGAACAGTTGACATTTAATTAGGTGTTTTGCCTGATAATAGTTTCACGATCATTTTTTATTTGATTTTGATTTAATGCAGCAGTTCTTACAAAACCTAAAACTGCTCAATTAAATTATACAAAAACTTATTATAGTGCTTACTTTTCTTAAAATTATATTTAGCCTGTAACTTACGTTCATCAACCTCCTCCAACGTTGATTTTGCAATTTTGTTGTAATACAGCATTAACTGTTTTTTAATGGGATTTAAACCTAATGAATTTATATCGACAGAACAGTTTTGATAAAATTAAGTGTGATTCAATTATTTTGTTCATAAAATAAGAAGTTCAGTTTTCATAATATTGCGGTGTCAGTTGTTGAATTCGGATTTAACACTTACATTGTATTGGTTATATTATTAAAACATGTTGTTCGAGGGCAATTGTACATAAAACTTATGAAAATGGATTAAATATTTGTAAATGGACTTGAGCATCCTAGCATACTTTTTGCATTTTAATTATTTTTAAACAGTTACTAAAAATATTTATCAAAAAGTAAGTGCTTAGGTTGGGTAATAATATAATTAATACACGTATAACAAAGCATGACAGCACACATTGTAAAATCACTTATATCGTTCCTATCAGAAGTATGTTTTATTCAATTATTTTTCTAACTTTTATACCTCAATGTAGAAAAAAGCAACTATTTATAAAATTAAATTATCAACAAATAGGAGGGAATAACGGATTTAGGTGAAACAGTTGCTTATAAATTAAACTTCGTGTGCTGCTGTTGTTACAATTTGCATAAACTGTGTAACACAACAATAGTTATCTAACAGCCATAACTATTTTATAACCATAATTATCCAATTATCCCAATACCATTGTCAATCAACAACAATCCTATTTCATCATTTGATGTTATTATACACTAAGATCATTTTTAATCACTTTACAACGGGCTTATATTAAATATTTCTGTTTTAATTCAAACTTTTGTTATAACATTTATACTGAAAGTAAAGAGTTCTAGTAGTAAAATAATTGTTTCTATAAGTAAGGAAGTAACAAGGGAATAACAAGTAAAACAATTACGAAGGAAATAAACTTCATGTGCTATCGCTGTTACATGCATAATTAGCAAAACTATCTAAATACTATGCTATCCAAATCAACAACTAGCTTATCATTTTGGAATGCTGTTGTGTGCTTTAAGATCATTTTTAATCGCATTGTATCAAACACTATAGGGGAGAGTGGGGTCAATTGTAACAGGGTACGATTGTAACAGAGCAAAAATTTCGAGTGTCGGGTTTTANTGGTTATATTATTAAAACATGTTGTTCGAGGGCAATTGTACATAAAACTTATGAAAATGGATTAAACATTTGTAAATGGACTTGAGCATCCTAGCATATTTTTTGTATTTTAATTATTTTTAAACAGCTATTAAAATATTTATCAAAAAGTAACTGTTTATGTTGGGTAATAACATAATTAATACACGTATAACAAAGCATGACAGCACACATTGTAAAATCAGTTATATCGTTCCTATCTGAAGTATGTTTTATTTAGTATGTATGTATTAGTTGAAGTATGTATTATTAGTACGTTTTAATTATTTTTCTAATTTTTATACCTCAATGTAGAAGAAAAGCAACCATTTGTAAAATTAAATTATCAACAAATAGGAGGGAATAACGGATTTAGGTGAAACAGTTGCGTATAAATTAAACTTCGTGTGCTGCTGTTGTTACATTTTACATAAACTGTGTAACACAACAATAGTTATCTAACAACCATAATTATCTAATTATCCCAATACCGTTGTCAATCAACAACAATCCTATTTCATCATTTGATGTTATTATACACTAAGATCATTTTTAATCACTTTACAACGGGCTTATATTAAATATTTCTGTTTTAATTCAAACTTTTGTTATAACATTTATACTGAAAGAAAAGAATTCTAGTAGTAAAATAATGGTTTCGATAAGTAAGGAAGTAACAAGGGAATAACAAGTAAAACAATTACGTAGGAAATAAACTTCGTGTGCTATCGCTGTTACATGTATAATTAGCAAAACTATCTAAATACTATGCTATCTAAATCAACAACTAGCTTATCATTTTGAAATGCTGTTGTGCGTTTTAGGATAATTTTTAATCGCATTGTAACAAACACTATTCTTATTTTTCGGACACATCGTGCTCATATTCTTATTTAAAATTTTCTACTATCTAAGCAGCAGTAATTAATCTTAGTTATAAAATAGAGCTATCAACTATGAAATATCGAAGGAAAAAAATGAAAAAAATAAACAGGTTATACCTTACCTGTTTTAATGAGTTTGAAGTTAATAGCATTATGATCTTCCAAATGAGCTGTGAGATTTGGAGAAGTTATTTGTCGTAAACTGAGATCTGAGCTCGGGCTACTATGAATATAATCAATATTAGATAATGAAGTCCTCATTCCACCGGAAGCCTGAGCTTTATGGCGATGGTTTTTAGAATCCATCTTTTTTCTTTTTAATTTTCCACTATTTGCAAATAAAAATGCTGCAAACAAGTTTTTTTTTTCAAAAATAAGATTGCAGTTCAAAAATTTTGCTAATGGCAGAATCTTTTGTATATTCCAGACATAAACTGCACACGTATGATATATCCAATTCAATAATTCTTGACACTTAGAAATTTATCATATAAAGTTGCTCTGATATTTCATTGATTTGTTCAAACAAAACTATATATATCACTCGCTAAATCAGCACCAAAAAGTTCTAAAATGAAACTAATTTATACAGGAATGTATACAAAATAATGACTACAATTTCTTCAGAAATTATAATTTGAAACTGTGCAAAATTGTAAGTAATTTATTAGATCGAATGGCAATCATCAAAACAGCAGGAAGTTTTGCGATTTTGTTAAAACATCACAAAAATCGAAGAAATTGTTCAATTTATCACTATACTGATAAAAAATAATAAATTCCCAGCGCTTTATGATTTTTTCCATATCTTTCATAATATAGTCATTGCACTAGGATTTAAATATTTATTTTTTATATTCTGAATACTCACTGCATAATTGTTGATTTATTAAAAGTTGTTTATTCAAAGTAAAAGAAACGTCAATTATTATTTCTTGGTAATTTCTTTCTTAAAATTTTTTAGATTACTCATCATGAAATTTTTGTTACTTCCAAAGCTAACAGAATAATTTTGAGCTTTCGTATAATAAAGTGATTCAAACATTCCTTCAGGTTATGACTTATAAATTCGAATGATGAAAAATCTCGATTAATCGATGAAACTCATTTCGACATGTTTGCCATTTCATCTTTCCACTTATATTTCATACTTTTTTTTTCTTTAGCACTTTCTCATTACAATCTTCTCGTTCATTTTGTAAATAAAAACTGAATACTTAACAAGTCAATTTTGATTAACAATTTGAAACTTTAACACTGCTGCCACTTGAAAAAAACAAAAGAAATAGCAAATTAAAATAGTATCCAAATAATGCGTGGTTTTAATATCCAAACGATTTCTTTTTATTCCAATCCTGGCTGCAAAAAACGCGCGTGTTCACATTTAAAAATGTATGCACACTGATTGTTCGGAAGATTCACGCGAAGTCGGGAAAACTATAGAATTCTATTTCAGGAACACTCAAGATTAGGAGAGGAAACAAAATAGATGACGGGGACTCGAAGAAAAATCAAAACACAAGCTAGATAGATAGTGAAGTTTTCTTTTTCTTCTTTTTTTTATTCTCTTATTACTTAATGCTTTTTTAGAAACTGTGATGCGCTTCACGCGTTCTATTCAGCGCCAAGATATCGTCTGCTCCACGCAGAACAGAAAATTGGCATGGGTTTCCAAGGGGTCGTGAGCAGCGCCGCCTTACAGCGGTAGACGAAATGACCAATTCTGGAGAATAGACCGGAAACTGGTCGTTAATGGGTTTTTATTTCAAATAAAACAGGAGAAGTGTGCTTACAAAAAAAATATTGATTCATATAACGAGTCGAAAATGGCTCAACTAATTTGAATAATTCTACGATATAACTATCCAGTAAATATCATTCCATGTGATTTCAAATTTAATTATCATTTTATGTTAATTTTTTTGGACGTTGGATTAACGAAATTATTATTTAAAAGACAAGTAGGACGTAATAGAGAGCAAATTTTTTAAATTTTTTATTATAGTTTTGTTCAAATAAAATGCTCATCAGTATAATTATATGCATATNATATATATATTATAATAATTTTTACATGCTGATAAATACACTATAGGTGGTTTTATCTTTTTCTTTGGAGCTAGTATTTTTGCAATGTAATTTTATTTCATTTTTTCTTCTTATTTTAAACCGAAAATATTGTACAAAATAATTTTTAAAAACTCGTATAGTTTATATATCATTAAGTGTTTAATATGACTTGAATTAGTAAAACATATTAATTCTATATGATCTGCTAATTTTATAAATCGATAGGCTTCTAATTTTGTATGATTTTTTTCGTGTAATTTTTAATTTATTTAGCTTGAGGAAGGGGCAGTCGCTATTAAATAAGGTTGATAAGCATCTATTATCAAATCTTCAAAAAAATTTAATACCTAAACATTTAAAACGAAGTTTGAGTTCTAAGAGTAACATTAATACGTACTCATTGAAAAAAAAATGGAAATATATTTCTCAATGAATTGAATATATTTATTAGTGTATTGAAATACATATTAAAAAAAATTTCTTATAGTGAAAAGAAATTTGGAATATCATTTGCACAAATTAATTAGAATAAATTTGAAATTTCATTTTCAAATTAATTAGCACATTTCAGGGAAGTCTCTTAAACCATTAATATTGTATCTCAATATGTAACAATTCAATCAAAAGTTTCGAAGTTGTTCAGTTTTTTATTCAATTTGCTCCCTGCAAAATCATTTGTTAGCAATAACATGATATTATCGGATTGAAAACTTTATTCGCTCCAAAAATATTTAAATAGCAAATAATAAATAGTTAAAAATTTTCAATTTCATCAAATACAGGCGCCCATTTTCAAGCCTTGCCAGACGTTAATGAGAAGAAGCAAAAGTAATTTAAAATAAAGAAAAACTAAAATTGCCATAGAAAAATGGAAAAATATAGATTAAAAGCAAAGCGAGAAAAAGCACAGTGAGAGATAAGGGTAATTATATTAAGGTTTCCGTCAATTACATTTTGATAATCGAGATATTTTGAATTAAAACTTATGTTTTTGCTTGAAGGATATCTGAGACAAATATCTTTAAAACTTTGATTATTTTTATTATTATTATTAAAAAATTAATTTCAAATAGGGAAAAATTGTTCTTTCTGTCTTATCCTAGTTTGAAAGCGAGATAAAAGTTCTAATTTTTCGCGACCAGAAAATGCAGAAAAATTTTATCTGTCTCTCATTAATAAATTCAGCATTAAGAGTTTGAAAACTATTTAATGCTCTCATTAAATAGATTTTAGCAATGTATCTCCAACATTATCTGACTTAATTGCTTTAAATTTGGGAAAAATAATATTTTTAAATATACTTTAATTTCTCTTTCCAAAATTGCAAGGCAATTTCCATATTTTGATGTATTTTTTTATATAAAAAAACTGTAAATAAAAAGTTAAAATATAACATTTTTTTTCAAGAATTTTCCAAAAAGTTTAAAATGCTTATGGAAGAAAATTCTAATGAGAAAATAAATTATGGAAGTTTTTACTTGAAATAGATTTGATTTTTGTAAATTTGAAAAAGTGAGCTTTTCAGTTGTATTAAAAATTAACATCAATTAAAATTGCCTCTAGAATATTTGCGAAAAAAAAATTCAACTTCTAAAATGGAAGTATTTGATGCTGATTCACATATTAATACAGTACTGCAGATATTTTAATTTAAATTACATAGAGCAACTGTGCTAAGAATTATACGCTTTCAACTTTATTCTGACGCAATTTATCACTAAAAACTTTTCATAGTCTATTCAGAAATTATATCTCTAAATGGCATGAATTTCTTAACAGATTTGATAAGTAAAACCAATTATTTTTGTTTGGAATCCTCAAAATGTCTCCCTATTTCTTACAATACACCAGCAATATGCTTTTAAAGTTGTGTAAATCACACCTAAATTATCATCAAAAATAAAAAGTCCAATGTGATTTTAAAAATAATCAATCAATCAATATTGTTATTATTCTCAATATTCTGCAACAGTATTAAATATTGTTGCAAAATAGTTAGCTACAAAATGCATTGATCTGCTTAAATTTTTTCTATAAAAATTTTGGTAATTAAAAATTGGAAAAAGATTATGTATTTTTTTAAATTTACTGCAAAGTTGGTTATCTTAGAACTATTGTTTTTAAGCTATGCTACCCTAGCACAAACTTCAATATATTGCCGTACAAAAATTAGTTACCATCTGCCTTGATATGTTTTATTTTAGTCTACTAAAACGTTTGTACCATTGAAGTAAAACGATTGCAAAAATATGTCATTTAAAGAATTTCATTTATTTATTTATTTGACGAAAATAAAATATATAAAAACCTGTTGTTGGGTTCTTAAAATGTGAAAATTTTATAAAAGATACGAAAGCCTTTATTCTTTAACATAAATAGACAGCAATCTTTTTTAAAACTTTTACTGCCATTTTAACCCAAATCGTAGTAATATACTAGTATTTCTGTCTAAGAACTGTAACCATTAAATCCAAATATCTATTCATGCTTTAATACTCAATCACATTTCAAATAAGTTTGAGTCATGAATTTTGAATTACTAGATTGGCCGACAGTTATTGCTCCAAGTCAACTGCAAATGGAATTAAACCGAACACTTGAACTGGTCCTTACGTTTCACAATTATCTCAACTAGAAAGAGGATATATTATAACAAGTATCATTATGGACTTCATTTGAATCGATTGTGATATCACCTAATATCCATTGCAAGTCACGTTAAATATGAAGATTCTACATACATATGCGCACATGAAATTAAAGAACAAGTTTTATGATTTCATTCTGTGATTGGAAATGCTGTCATGTCATAAATAATTATTTCAGTATTAAATAATCTGACATATTGTAACAATTGATAATGTAAATATTCAAATATCTTTAAAATTAAAATAAGTCGACAGATTTTCAGGTCTCGGAAGTAGGAGCACAATAAAGGTGAAAAAAATGCTAGAAGAACCACGTTAGTCGAGAGAGAAAAATCAGAGCAGAATACATTTACCCCTCTGTTATCATGCTTCTTCAAGTTCTGTTTTTCACCTTTGTTTAATTTTTCATTTTTTGTTTGTAACTTTGTGTTTTCTTTTCCAAATCCTATTGGGTTTTCCTCATTCCCGTCTATTTAGTCTTGGAAATGGGCACTCATTTCCGAGTGCTCCAAACATGCTGAATCTTAATACTTTTAGAAGTTAATACATCTTTACGTAATAAAATGCATCTCTCCACTTCAGTTTCAAAGGATTGTTTAATTCATATCGTTATGCATTTATAAGCAAATAAAGTTAAGACCATTTCATTAATAAGTAATTTTAATTTAACATTCCATTATCTTGAACAACATTCAGATGTATTATAAATAACTATATTCGTGTGAGAAATGCATTAAATACTGTTATCATGAGAATACATTAGAGAAATACACTATCGTGAGAAATACATTAATTACTGTTTACTTTACAACTAAAGTAAATTTAATATTAAACTTAATAATAATGCTAGCTTATGTAGAAATGAAATAATAAAATAAATAGTTAAAATTGCATCATAGTTTGCATCAATGTTTAAAATTGCATATCATTTTAAATAAAAATTTAAACAAAACGTTAAAAGTAACGTTTAAATCGAAAGTAATTAAAATATATCTGCATAAACTATTTCAAATTTGAATACCGCTTAGATTATTACGCAAACAAATAGTAATATTATTATGCTCATAAATGTTGCTTCTTTTCATAAGAAATATCAAAATTATGTAACAACATTTTCTTTATGACAAATTTAACTTTAAGCAACTAATAATATAAAATATTTTCATAATTTATGAACATTTAGACAAAATATAATTTGAAGAATATTTTTTAATACTTTTACTTTAAATTTTACGAAGTATATCCTTAGAGAAATTTCGATCTAAAAAAATATTCAATGTTTGCTTTATGGAAAAATACGAACCGTAAGGAAAATTAAATTTTTGATATCCTGTTTCGAATATGTTGTCTCGGAAAATAAAATATTGACTCTACAGAATTTGATAAAAAAACAACAAAATAATCACATATAATTCTGAATTTTTTACGAAATACAATTTTATAAATATTTTCAATCATAAAACTTTGTAAAAAACAAATGGAATTGAATTCATACAGGAAATGACATTTTAAAATATTCACTGAAAATTATGAAAAACAAATATTATAAGGATATTTAAATTTTAAAAGTATTTTTATAACTTCAGTTTACTTTTTAAATTTGAATTATTTTTTGATAAAGTAAATATAAATATTAGACTGCAAAATCTTTAATGTTTATATACTTTTTAACAAGAAATATATATTATTATATCTCTAAATGGCTAATATCTAATGAAATAGAAATTGGTATGCATATTTTTTTTGACAAATTTCAATTTCAAAATGATTAGAAGTATTTCATTCATTCCCGAGTAAATCCTTGAATCTACGACTGTTATTTTCCTAATTCCTATCTCTGTATTTCTGGTGTCAACCTGTTCATGTAGTAGCAAAAGAATAACTATCAATAAGAATAACTAACATAATATATTTGTCAATGAATGAGTTTTCGATTATTAATATTTTTTTTT